ATCTTGATTTGACACTAATCAATCTTTAAACAACAATTAATCAAAATTTCCTTTTACTTAAGGATTAAAACTTCAATAATTAATAATAAATCAAATAAAATTCATAAATATGCAAAATCAATTTTAATCAACTTTAAACATACAATCAAACAAAATTAAAATCCTAAACTAATTAAAACTTAATTAATAATTAATTAACCTTTAGTTAATTATAAACTAATTAAATTTATTAAAAATAAAGTATTAATCAAATTAATCTGAAACTTTTAGAGATTGATATATTGGTTATTCCTAACCTTTGATATCAATTTCATAAATGTTAGAGTTAATTTGATATCAAAATTAAATTACCCCTCTTATGTTAATAATTAAATCATTAAAATAATTCATTAAATTCTTAATTTCAAACATAATTAAATAAATAAAATAAATATAATTTAAAATACATAAATATTCAAATAAAATTAAAAGAAAATTTGGAGATTAATTATTTGAATTTAAAAGAAAGTTTTAATAAAGTTTAATTATAATTCATAAATAATTAATGAAAAATTCGAAATAATAAAAAAATAATAATAATTAAAAATAAGACATTCGTTATCGAAGTTTTTGGCAGCCAAACTGTCGGTTGGCTGCCGAAAACCTATAGCATTTAAAAAAAAAAATGGTAGCCCCCTTCTATTTACTCAATTTTACATAATACATACACAGAACTGAAAACATATATCACAAATAAGAGTAACACGCCACTATAATCAACCCACAACTATAGTCCAAAATCAACATATATAACATTCAAATGAAATCCACAATAAGCATAATCAAATGTTTAAACAGAAAGTTTATCAAACTAAATGAAATCTATAATAAACATAACATATAAATCCATAATAAGATATCCATGTCCTCGCTTTCACACAACAAGTTCATCAAATCAAATGTTTAAATAAAAGTTCATCAAACAAATAAGAACACTAAGCATCCTCAGTATCCTCGCTACCTTGTGATTCATGCGTCGGTAAAACAAAAAACTGGCACCCTTGTCGGAGGTTATTATACTGCCGCTAATTCTGACGGTGTATTATTAAAAACTGCCGGATAAATTGTCGGTTAATACTGGTGGTTAGAACGCCGGTAATACCGATGGCTATAAGACCGCCGATAATACCTGAATTTCCTGTAGTGCATGTTTGATTTTTCTTGGAGGGCATATGTATTGGATTGAAGGGTCACTTCTCTATCATTTTAATAAACCATCAATAAAACTTCAAAGGATTTTCTATGGTCATATATCCTATATAAGGGATGATTTTATTTTATGTATGAGCCTTAGGATCTGTAGGTTAGTGGCTCTTACACTTTTAGGTTATTAATCTATAAATTTTCTATAATTAAATAAATAACTTCAACCATTAAAAATTCAAATAATTAAATTCAAATGCATACAAGTTAAACTTCAACTAAAATCTCCTTTTGACCTTAATGAATAAACCTTCTAAATACATGTAACTTAAATACTAAATTCATATAGGGCATACGAAAATCACATAGCCTACTTCACACTTAGTGTGAATCCCTTAAAATTTTTTAAGAATTTTTTCGACTTAGAACAATTAAAAATTATTTCATGAGCCATTATTTTTCAAATCACAACCCATGTTTATCAGAACATATATAATATAGTGCTTTAACTACCCTAATATTTTTTATAATTTATGGGCACTCATGAAATTTTTTAAGAAATATGCAGCTATCGATATAAGTGAATTTTTTGGGACTATTATATGTCTATTTTGCAAATCAATTCTACAAGAATATTTAAGATATAATAAACTAATTTATGAATAATTTTTGTAATTTTTTAAGTTTTGGATTTGAAAATATAAAGGAATTTAAAAAAATTTACTATTTTAATATTAAATAATTTAAATAATTATTTAATATTTTAATATAATATATAATCCCACTTTATAGTTTATTAAAGATTTCATTTTATTTTTTATCATTTCATCAACAAAGAGAGCAGTTTAGGGATTTTAGGAAAAAAAGAGAGGAGTGAGAAAACTAAAGTTTGATTTTGAGCAACTTCGAGTATTTTTCATCTTTCGGTTCAATTGGAAAATATGTTTGTCTCAAAGTAAGCCACATTATGACCATCTCAATTTAAAAAAAAAATAGATGATTTTTAGATGTGGATAACTTTGCCTTGGTAAAATTTTCACTGCATAAATTTTAATATATTATAGAGATTATGATTATGAACTTTTTGAATATTTTATTATATTTTTCAATTGGAGTTTTGAAATTTGTGAGGTTTTTATTGAATAGAAAATTATTTGGATGTTGTAAAATAGTATTGTAGTACAATAAAAATCATAAATATTATTTTACATAATCCATACTAATTAATAATTTTTAAAAAATGTACATTTTTGTCTAGTAGGATTTTCTATTACCGGGAGCCATAAGGCGTCAGAATCCTTTGAGATTATGTCAATGACAGTGAATATTTTTGTGCTTATAAGGTATATTTTGGTGGCTATAAGCCATATTCTAGTGCTTACAAGCATGTTCTAATGTTTTAAGCACAAAAAAGAGTTATACGGGGTATGGATCCTTTGAAATTATGTATAGGTTCAAAAAATATAACATGAACTGCTCTATAATATGGATTAAAATTTATTTATTTGCTAAGTATTATTATTTAAATAATTGTATAACTATTATGCTCCTATTATATTTCTCAGCATAATGATTATTAGCATGCATTTAAATGCTTTTAAATATTCAACAAAATTTATTAAAAGAATTTAAAAATTGAGTGGTCTAGTAAGGTGTTGTAGCTCAGTGTAATTTTGCTTATGCTTTTTAGGATCTGGGAAAGGTAAGAAGATTGTGGATTAGCAGTTCAATATCATATTTGAGTTGATATGTATTTCTTTTTTAATTTTTATACAATCATGACTTGTTTATTATTCAATTTTGTAGCTTAACATATAGTCATGTACTATAGTATACATATATCGTGATGAAATGAAAGAAACCTTATGGATGAGTTTGTTTTAGTATTTGGATGCTTTAGTAGCGATGTAGCATTTCAAATAAATATTGATAGAAAACTTGTAATAATTCCAAAACTAGATATTATGATTTATCTATCATAGCTCAACATGATAATACATGTCTAGATCTAGTTGGGTTGTGACATTTAGATAGTTTGCTAGGACAATCAACTCTAGCCTAGGGTAGGCTGGTGGTGTTAATTATTTATCGAGAGCACGCTATATTTGTTTATTTAAAATTAGCACTATGGATTGTCATATTTAAATTTATGTTGGTGCACTTAGGCTCTTTAGAAATTACGTTAGAAGCATTAGATGATTGCACAACTGCTCTGCATATTTTATATTACATATAATATAAAATGTACCTAGGAACTACTGTATATATGTATAAGTGTCTGTAAATCATAATTTATATATAGATCGAGTTTTACAGTGTCCTGAGTTGTAAAATAATTAAATACACCTGCTTATATATACATGTGGGGTCTCCAAAAGACGATGTCCTCTCATTTGGAGTATAATCTCTTTTGAAATTCTACAAAAAAACTTGAAGCTTAAAGATCATAAGAAGATGTATTTGGTTTTATATATATGGTAGGTTTAGAAACCCATGTTTGTTATGGTGGAGCTTGGCCACCTTACTTTCTTGTAGAGTCTGAGTCTATTGTAAATCTCTAAATCAATAAATGAATATTTTTTTTATTTATATAATTCTCTTCTATGCATCATTTCCTATATTACTTGCATGTATATGATAATTTGCATGAGGGGGTAGCAACTTTTCTTAGATCTTCCTCAGTGTGCATGTTTCATACTTTGTAGGAACATATATAATACTTTTAGGATGTTATAGCTTTGGGTACTATAGACACCATTCGCTTTACCTATTCATTCATACATACAAGGTAGCGGGGTCTCCATTAGCATAGGGGATATTATGCTTTCCTTGTTGGTATAAGGTCGTTATGTTGCAAAAATTTCTTTAGTAGTTAGAAAATTTAGCTAAGTAATATAAACAAGAAAAATTTAGATTTTTTGCGAGTCTTCTCGTTTGCGTCACTTAAATGTAAAGTCAAATTACTTATATATATATATATATAAGACAACTTTATTATATGTTAAAATCAAAATGAGTCTAACCTCCACTTTAATCAAAAGTTCTCTTTGGAGATGTAATTGACTGTATGGCTTGCCTCTATAGCAACCCAAGATTCAAGTATAAAATAAATAATGTCTTAGTTTGCTAAGAGAGGGGAAAAATCTCTAGATGTCGACTAAAGCCTATTATGGGTTAATTTCATATTTAAAACGATAGGTGAATGTTAAATTTATCCATAAGGATAATTTTTACATTCTCTATGCCGAGTTTGAATACAAAATAATTCATTTCTTTCCTCAAATTGATAATACAATATTAGTTTATTCTTCAAATAATTATCACTACTTATGTGAATTTGTCTAAGAAATATTAAATATCAAATTAGAGGTACAAACATCATCATTTAATTTGTCCACTAGACCTAAAAAGACTTCTTTAGAAAAATATTAGAAATGACTTTTTATTAGATTTAAATAAAAATTTGACTCTTAACATAACACAATGGAGAAAATTGGTTCATGTAGCCGACCCCACGTAGTGGGATAAAGGCTTGTTGTTTTTATTGTTGTCTTGAATAGATGTGAGATGAATAATTGGATGTATAAATGAAAGTGAAGTTATAAAGAGAATTTGGTATTTCTTATATCTATTCTGAATAGATATAAGGTGATCAAGTGGAGGTCTAAGTAGAACTGAAGTTATAAGATGACATTGGGACATACATACGTAAACCATGTCATGCATACATAACATACAAGTTTTATGTATTCTAAGGGGGTTGCCAGCGCTTTGGATTTCTGAGAGTGAGGCGCTTCATCTTGCTAAGCCCTTTGAATATGCGTTGGTTGGGAAGTTTTTGCTTCGCCGGCCAGTGCTTGATGCGATTAGAATTTTTTTTTTTCAACCTCAAACTTTCTGGCGAGTTCACGGTCACTATTTTGAATCCGAATAATGTTTTGATCAAGCTTGCCAATGACCTCGATTATGGTAGAATTTTTGCTCACAGATCTTACTTTATATTTGGGTGCTTTATGAAGATTATTAAATGGAACCCTTACCTTGACTTGTCGGAAGAATCTCCTATCGTCCCCGTGTGGCTTTCTTTCCCTGAACTTCATCCCCACCTTTTCTCCCCGCGCATTCTCTTCGGCTTAGGTTCTATCTTTGGTCGGCCTATTCAATCGGATAATAACACTGCGGTGGGTTCTCGTCCTTTTGTGGCTCGTATTCTTGTGGAAATGGACATTTCTAAATCTCACCCCCATTCAGTTTGGCTTGGTCCTGATAGTTTGTGTTATATTCAAAAGGTTGTTATGGAAGGTTTGCCTAGTTTTTGTTCTCATTGCAAAGAGGTGGGTCATAAAAACTCTGATTGTGTTAAATTGCATCCTTTGTTGAGGAAGGTTGCAGCCCTTGTCCTGCTGAATCCTATTATGCCGGAAGTGGTTATGCCTCAAGTTTTGAATGATTTAGCTATTGACAATGAGGATTGTGGTAATGTGAGCTCTCGTGATGTTGGCTTTCCTGTTTCGGTGGGGAAGTTGGTGGGCAATCTGGATCCTTCTCCAGGTGTTGCCTTGGCCGGTTCTCATATTGTGGGCCCTTCTGATAATATGTTGGTTTCTTTTGATAAATTGGGTGGTGTTAACCAACTGGCTATGGATGTGGCTATTGATGGTAGTGAGGGTGATATAGTGGTAAGTGATAATGTGATTTTTCCCGTGGTGGTTAGTCATAATGCTATACCGTCGAATATTGTTCTACGTGTTATTATGCCCCGTTTGTTAAATGAGGAAGTTGTTGAGCCCTTTGCTCTGAGTCCATTGGGGAAGGGTTGTGCGATTGCTGTTGCCTCTTCGGACTGTCTTGATTTCCCGGATGTTGCCGGTGTGGTGCACTAGCTTGATGTTTGGGAGGGTGATGAGATTCATGATATTGGTGCTGCTTCACCTGGGGTGGTTTTCGGCCTGATACTATGGTTACTTGGCCACTTTATGATGGTGACGATCCTTTGTCTAAAAGTTTTGATGATCCGATTTTTACTGTGCCTATAACTATTGTACCTAGAGATGTAATGCTTTCTCACCTATCTAGGGATAGTGAGGTGTTACATGGTGATTGGCTTCATGATGAAAATTCACATGATGATGAAAGTTTCAATGAGGATGATTCGGCT